ATGAACAGCACCACCAGCTCCGGCAGCTCCAGCACCTCTACTACGAGCACCTCCAGGACCAGTTGCTCCAGCACCTCCAGTACCTCCAGCTCCAGCGCCTCGAGCACCAGCAGCACCTCCAGCACCTCCAGCACAAGCTGTACCTCTAGGACTAGTAGGTCCAGAACCTGCAGCACCAGTAGCACCTCTAGGACTAGTAGCTCCGGCACCTCCAGCATCAGCAGCACCTCTAGTACCTCCAGCACTAGCAGCACCTCCAGTACCTCCAGCACCAGCAGTACCTCCAAGACTAGCAGCTCCAGCACCAGCAGGACCATACCCTCCACCACTAGGACTGCCTCGCCGAACGATCCACGCACGAATCGCCTGCGGCGAGAGCGTCTCAAGTAGGTCAGGCTGCGGTGGCTGTCCAGCTACAGGACCTCCAGTAGGGTCACCCACAGCTCCACCGCCACTAGGACTCGCAGGACCCCTAGAGGCAGCACCCCCAGAGGCAGCACCCCCAGTCGCAGCACCCCAAGAACAAGCACCCCCAGTCGTAGCACCCCCAGAACCAGCACCCCAAGAACCCTCACCCTTTGTCTCAGCACCCCAAGGCTCAGCACCAGCAGTCTCAGCTCCAGAGTCCACAGCAGCAGGCTGTGGAGGCGGCGAAGACGGCCGAGACGGAAAACCAGGGGGGGTCTCCAAGCGTGGAGAGCGGCGAGTGGCCGCCGTGTCGTCAGCGGCAGGGTCACCCCCCTCAGCTGGGCTAGAGGAGTCAGAAGAGACCTCCAAAGGCTCAACCAAGGGGGGTGGGTCTACTTGAGACACACCTGAGGGAGCAGGACCCTGTGGGGGGAGGGGGTCTACCGGGGGGGGGGGAACTGGTACCAAGAAAAGAGGCGCTAGGGGGACCGGGTGGGACGCGTGCGGGTGTAGCCTGTAGTAGTAGACAGACTCGTCAAAGGTGACGTCCTCCCGGAGAAGACTCGACGCGAGCGCGGGTGGTAAAACTGCCACGGCAGGGCGTCGTTGGGGAAGCCAAGGAAGACGCAGCGAAGAGTGCGAGAGGAGAGCTTGTTCGCTTTGGCATCGCGAACAAGGGAGAGCGCGCCCCAGACCCGAAACACCGACGCATCGCCAACCTTCCCCGTCCACCGGAGTGTGGGCGAGGTCTCTGGCTCAGAGACACGGGGCCAGAGGTTGAGCTGATGCACAGCGTATCGGACCGCAAACGGCCACAGAAAATGGGGAGCAGCCGCATGGATCATGGAGGTACGAGCAACCTCCATGATCAAGCCAATGCGACGCTCAGCAATCCCATTATGCTGAGGAGAGGTCGGAAGCGTGAACGTCTGGCGGATGCCCTCGTCTCGACAGAACTCCGCAAGGAGGTCAGAAGAGAACTCACCGCCCCTGTCAGAGTGCAGACGCAGGACTGGGAAGTTCCAACAATACCGCTAGCGCAGCTGGCGACGAGTAGCACAGATCCAGTGGATTAAAACACCGCTGACGTCCGCCTTGCACCGCAAGGGGAAGACAGTGGTGTAACGTGAATTGTCGTCAACAACCAGCAGGAAGTAGCGCTCCTGGTCTGTTCCACCGACGGGGGCTGGGCCCCAAACGTCCATGTGGAGAGTCTGCGGAGGAGCGGTGGTCGGAGGAAAATCGGAGGAGTGAGGACCGGCGCACTGCCGCCCCTCGACGCAGGGAAGGCACGGCGGGGCAGGCGAGCGCGGGAGGGGGGGTAGGGACCTGGGAAGGCCAGAGACAAGGAGATGGGAGTGCATACCGCGGAGACGCAGTAGGGAGGGGTGACCGAGGCGGTGGTGCCAGAGGAGATTCTGGTGGGAGAGTACCCGACACGAGCAAGAAGCTGCAAGCTAACCAGACGCAGACACCTGATTCGACGCAGCCACCTGACCTGCCTCAGCCACATGTGCAGACACAATGGTCAGTGTGTACAGACTAGACCAAAGCCGTCGGCTGAACCTAGCCAGGTGACGGCCAGTCTGGGAGCACATACGGATCGCCACACGCTGCCCTCCAGGAATAAAGGTATCAACCCAGACATCCTGAATGGCAGCGTTGCTCACCAATTTCGTCAAGAACGTGGGGAGGTGGAGACCTGACAGAGAACCGGACGGGACTGCTGGACACGGGAGGACAGTGGAGGCTCGTGCGACTACAAGGCCCCCAGTGGGGTCAGCCAGTGAAACCGGTACCGGTGCAGCAAGTGGTGTGTGTGTGTGAGAGTACGCCGACGTTCGACATATTTCTCATTTCCATATTTTTACTCCATCTTATTCTCCTTAATTTCCTCTTTCATTTGCACTTTAATTCACCTCAATCGGACTACTATTCTATTTTCTAGAGCTTTCCGATTATTTCACTTATTTGGTATTTTCGGCACCGACATTTACATTATACGGCACCGACAGCACCGACGGTGGTGTACAAGGCGTAATCTCGCCATAATCCGAATTGCCAATGGGCTTGCGTGCTTATGCGCACTTGTGATTATCTATTCTAGAAGAGCGCGTTCCCGAAGGTTCGGATTATCTGTTGTTTCTATGTATTTCTGAGTATAAATACGCCTTGTACTCACCTTTAGTACAACATTCTCGAGTGGAAATTCGATCCTGTGACACTTGGTAATCAGAGTCGTTTTCACTCGCGGAGTTTCAGCTAAGCAGCGCGCTCAAGAAATTCCTGCTTCGAAAAACCGCCGGGGGCGACGAATTCGGCGCCGACGCTGGTAAGCACCAGATTCCGCGTTTTTTTAATAACCCCCCTCGCGCGTTTTTTGAACAGGATCGTGAGTTCGATTGTTGGCGAAAACGTTTGCGATACAGGGACGACAATTGCGAATTGTCGGGACCTATATCGAGCGGTGCAGAAGTAGCGAGACCGACGCGCGACGGATCGAACGACTTCGGGTGAAAGCGCGCGTCATGGCGAAAATTGCGACAGAAGCAGAATCGATCGTGACTTCGCAGCAGTCGCGAAATTTTCCCAAGGCCCAAGAAATTCGAGCCCCCAACACCCCCCATCTGTTGATACCGTCTCCTCGAGATTCTTACTCCAACTCACGTAGCATGCATGGGGTGTGAGTACCGAGGCGGCCTGCCACAATGAAGGGGACGTGGTACACGTTGGTCGGCCCGTGATCAGTCATGCTGGTTACTACTGAATATGGGCCAATCAGTAGGCACCTTTCAAATGCTAGATGGATTGAGGCCGTTTTCTCGGGCTCGAACATTCGCGTGGTGGTTTTCATCGTAAAAAAAAGAACTACACAACATTACAGCACATCTGCATTCCATTCTATTTTTAAAATCGATGCACTTATGATAAGACCCGGGCCTTATAATTTCAAAACTATTTAATAATACCCCCCCACCCCACGTTTTTTAAATGAAATATTTAGAAGACCCTAGGGTGTCTTATCCGGGGGAATACGGTAGTAGTCATCAAACCATACAATCTTACCAATCGTGTGTTAGGCTGGGAGAATCATGGGTCGCTCGCGACAGAGAACGCCGCCATAACGACGTTGGGAGGCTTTAGAACCAGAAACCTAGCTTTGATACCATATCAAATAGCAAGTGGGGTGTTGAAAGGGTAGAGTTGAGAATGGAAAGGTGGCATTAGAAAGGGCAAGAGCCCAAAACATACAAGCAAGCGATAGGCAAGTGGTGTACATACCACCAACAGTTGGATGCTAATAAATACACTAGCATAATGGCTGTGTTTATAAATATGGATCGCCCGTTATGCAGTGACGCACGCATTCATATTAGCTGGCAGAATCGCAAGCGGTCTTGACCAAATTTGTCATAAAAGTCACCTAACTTAAATACGGTAGTTGTCGTCAAAGCTCTCGTACCAATATTATGCAGAATGCGACATATTTTGTCACAACCTAGTTTTGACGCACGATACGGTAGGATGCTGGTGCTGGTATGGAAGTGTAAACTGAAACCTCCCTACAACATGTTTTTGATAAATTCTTGAACGCCCCTGGGGGTTTATATTGGGATAAGGCAGCCAGCAGCTTTGGGACACAGCCATGGATAACCTTGATAGGACATGCACGTTAATGCCTGTTACTTTGATTGGAATCAGCAATGCAATGTGGCGGTAATCAGGCACACTGGTGAGTGAGAGGGCCATGGCAGGCATCAAGAGTGGGTGGGGTGGATGCGTGGGATGTGGGAGATGGCGTGGCGGCGCAGCGACCATGGGCTCACCCCCGCCTTGTGTGCCGCCATCACCCCCAGCGCCTCCCAGTAGTTTCCCACCACCACCTGCCATGCACATGGCCCCCGGGAGAACAGCAGGCACACCCCAGGAAAGCAAGAGCAAAGAAGGAAAGGGAGAAAGGGAGAGAGAGAGATAGATCCGAGACCGTCAAGGGGAGAGGCTGGGCTGCACATGAGGCGGCGGCTAAAAGGTGTCCCTCTACCGCAACTCCAGAGCACCCTATGTCGGGTTTTACCCACTCGCCGTCGAACTGTATGGTTGCCCATTCGCGGAGGTGCCCCAATTCCTCAAGCTTGTAGCCGACATGGCAGCACGCAAGCACTTGAACGCCGACCCAACAACCTACCAGGCGGCGAAGATGCTGCACCACTTCCGCCAGCGCTGGTCGGTGGCGCCGCAGGGAGGGCAGTCGTTGGGTTACCACACCAAATGTAACTTCGCTGCCCAGGCAGAGAACTCACCAGTGGGCTCACCGACCCAAGTCATGACCTAGGGGACTGCTTTGGCATACTGGAGCCCACCTTGGAGCTCCCCTTGAGGGAGTAGTGACTCAAGCATTGGGAGAATGGTTTCTAGAGTGCGTACCCGCTGTGTCGTTGTTGTGGTAACTGCATGCCTGTACCTACTAAAATGATATAATACGAAGGACTGTTGGAGAGAGGTCATGTAAGGTGATGGCACGTGGCAACTCACAGCAGGGATGCCAAACTTGGAGGGTGGGTCATCCATGACCGTTGTGTTCTCCTCCACCGCTATGAACAGCGGCTGATGGCCACCCATGGGCGCACACAGGCACGTGCAGGGATGGGCAAAGAGGGGCGCAGGGAATGCAGGTACAAGGATGAGCATTCAGCTAGATGCAGCAGAGCAAGTGCGTGCAGTGAAGCATGTTGCTGTGAGCCCAGAGCAGTGACAGCAGCACAGCATGGCAGAGTGCAGCACAGCATGGCAGCGTGCAGCACAGCATGGCAGAGTGCAGCACAGCATGGCAGAGTGCAGCACAGCATGGCAGAGTGCAGCACAGCATGGCAGCGTGCAGCACAGCATGGCAGCGTGCAGCACAGCATGGCAGCATGCAGCACAGCATGGCAGCGTGCAGCACAGCATGGCAGCGTGCAGCACAGCATGGCAGCGTGCAGCACAGCATGGCAGCATGCAGCACAGCATGGCAGCGTGCAGCACAGCATGGCAGCGTGCAGCACAGCATGGCAGCGTGCAGCACTGACCGGGCCGCCTGGTCGGCGAGCGAGGGCCTGGGCGGCAGGGCTGCCGAAGGCATCCACGGGCAGCACCACACAGTCCACGTCCTCTGCCCACACCACCCCTCCGCCTCCCCCCATGCTGCTCATGCTGGTGCTCGTGCCGCTGCTGCTGCTGCCACCATCTCTGCTGTAGTCCCATGCGCCCCCAATGATGGTGGGAATGCTGCTCGCAATCGCCGCCCCCTCCTGCCCCTCCTGCCCCTCCTGCCCTCCGCCTGCCCCTGTGCGTTTGGCTGCGGTGGTGGGAGGGGCGTGACGTGTGACGAGGCGGGGCGCGCGTGAGAGGCCAGCCAGCACACATGGCAGGAACGTGTGGCCAATCTGAGGGGCGCGTGGGGGGTGGGGGGAGGGCAGGACGAGGCAGCATCAGGTGGGGCTGCAAGGAAGTGACTTGCAGTGGGCAGTGAGCAGCATGGGTCAGCGCTCACCTCTTCAGCGGCGGAGCGCGGGGCGATGGAGGGCAGGAGGGGCAGGGGGGCGAGGGCGGGGGCGTGGGCGGCGGGGAGTTGAAAGCGGTGGACAACGAGGTGGGAGATGACGGCCTCCACGCCCGCCAGCACGTCCACGCCCTGCCCCTCGCGGTACTGCTGCAGCACCTCCTCCGCGTCGTCAGGGAAGCGCGCCACCACCCCCACCGCGTCCACCCCACGGGCCCCTGTAGCGGGCGCTGCTGCGGGCGAGAGGGCGTGTGCGTGGGAGGGCGGGTGTGCGGCGAGGGGTGCGGCGAGCAGTGTGTGCACGGCGCGCAGCAGCGAGTCCGCCTCGTCGATGCGCCCCGTGGCTGCACCCGTGGCGCCGTCCACCCACTTGTGCACCTGCTGCCCGCCCCCCACACACGCCCAGGGACTCACGGGCTTGCTGAGATGCACGCACGCACACACATGCTGTGAGAAAGGCAGGAAGTGTGAGAGAGTGTGACGGGTTTAGGAAGGAGCAGACAGGAGCAGGGGGGAGCAGATGACCTTGAGGGGGCGGTCGGTGACGGTGTATCCCACTATGTCAATTCCCAGTGTTGCCCTCGCAGCGTCTGCCACCTGCAAGGGCGGGGGGAGTGTGGGGCGAGGGGGATGTGTTGTGGGGAGCATGGTGAGGGCACATGCAGGCAAGAGCAGGCGGGGGTAAGGGTCAAGGTGGAGCGGGGCAGCAGCGAGGCAGCTGACGAAGAAAGCAGAAAGCAACACAGCGGCAATGTCGCTGCAGCCACTCCATGCAGCGCCAACCAAACTAGCGGAATGGCGGCGGAATGGCGGCACCTGCAGGTGGCGTTGGAGGAGGTCCTCTTCGATGGCGCGGTCGAACACGAGCCCCACGCGGTTGCTGTGCACGGGCTGCAGCCCCCACTCGCCGCGCGCAAAGCGGTCCAGCGCGTGGCCCTCCACGTAGAGCGCGCGCGGCAGCGGCCAGTAGAGCATGGCGCCGTTGAGCACGTTAGGGTGCGCGATCAGACACTCCGCCACGCTGCTGAACGCGCGCGCCACCGGCAGCGCGTCCCCCGCGAACCCCCCGATCTCCGCGCCCACGCCCGTGGGCACTATCAGCACCGCCACGTAGGGGCGCTGCGCGGGGGAAGACTGCGCGGAAACAGGGGGGTTAAGCCGGGGAAGGGGCAGAGTTGAGGGGAAAGATAAGCAAGGCTGCGATGCGAGTGGATGCGACCAGCGCTGCATCTCACCACGCTGCATCTGACTATGCCGCATCTCACCACGCTGCATCTGACTATGCCGCATCTCACCACGCTGCATCTGACTATGCCGCATCTCACCACGCTGCATCGCGGTCCACACTGTTGGCGTAATTGCGGCTCATTCGTGTCACGTGTTACCGCCAGCGCCCTGTTCCGCCACTCCCCATCCCCTCGTAATCCCTCCACTCCGCCCATGCGGGCGATCTGCGGAGACAGAAGCGGCGCATTGTGGGAGCGCGCGTGCGCGAAGGAGCAGCTTGCTCGACGCGCGAGTGTGCCTTCGGCGGGGCCATTTTTGTCGTTGGCGGAAAGAGAAGGTGGGCAGTGCGCGTTACAGGCGGGACGAGGCACTGCGAGAGGGTTCATGACGTGCGAGTATGGCTGGATGGATAGTGTCGCCGCGCTTTCAGGGCGAGTGGGGCGCTGACTGCACGTACTAGCACTGATGCAACGCAACTAAATCTCGTCCATCGTCGATACTCCAATCGCTCATTTACGAATTCATGCCCCTCGAATTCCCTACAGAAAGTGCAGGAAGCTGGGGGTTTAGGAACTTGTTTTACGCCTCTTCGAATTAGGGTAAGTTGTATGTATGCCAGACTTCATTTCCGTAAAACTCAAACCACTCAAGTAAAACCAGGCTCCCCTCGATAGTGACGACAGACCCTGCGTTTGAGTCAACCCCCGGGACTGTGCCCTCCGACTCAGCCACACCTTCTCGAACCTCGATTCTCCGAGCCGTCGTCGGTCCACGATGATGATGAGGCTGGTGGCTGTGCTCCTCCCTAGAATTCATCCCGCATATTTCAACCGACATCATGGTGACATGGTCGACACTGCGTCCATTTCTGACCCATTCGAGTTTCTGCTCTAGCGACCATTTCAATCAAGAATAAATTATGAAGACACTGTGATCTCGCACGCTGTGTTGTTCAAATTCGGATAATGTATGCTGCGAAAGTAGAATCGTTGGCGTAAATTAGGATCGTCGCTTGGCTTGCGATCACGAATTAACCACCATGCTTCGGGATTGTCGCACGGTTGCGAACTCTCAAGTGCATTTCAATTGAGCACGAGGAGTGGAGGCGCGGTGAGGGTGGACAGGAACAAGAGGCAGGCAAGGACAGGAGTAGGCCGCGACGAGCTGCTTGCATGTGTGCGCTGGTGTGGTCGCGCTGGCGTGCACACCGTATCGGAGACACTTGTAACGAAGCACCGTCCAGAAGGGACCATCAAAGGCCGCCATGAACTACACCGGCATCCTCGCCGCGCTTTTCTACGGTAGGCATCAGGTCACTTCCAACGTCACGTCAGGGGTACTTCAAGCAATACGATACAAGATTCTTGGTCTGTTACGTTAAAATCACTCGTTGCTGCTCCACGTGCTCCCATCGCCGATCGTGATTCACAATTTGTAGTCCTGGTCGCAATCACGTGTCGCGAGCACGGGATCCCAGTCATTCTCGCAACCATAATTGTCGTTATCCACCATGTGTTTTCCCCCAAAACTTCCCACCACCCCCCTCCCCGTTTCCCCTCCTTCTCCCCCCGGTCGGGCACGGCAGGGGTGATGTCGGTGGCGTCGGTGTTCATAAACAAGGCGCTGTTCCACGTGTACCGCTTCAAGTTCCCCTACACGCTCGTCTTCTTCCAGACGCTCTTCACGCTCGCGCTGCTCGCCGCCATGCGCCTGCTGCGCCTCATCCGCGTCACGCCCTTTCACCTGCACGTGCTCCGACGCGTGAGTGTGTGCGGGGATGAGGACGTCTGATCAGGGGCAATGAGTGGTGTGTGGGGGAAGAAGTGGTGTGTGAGCAGCAATATGGCAACTGGCACGCCAGCCCTTTCCTTGTCTCCTCCCATTCCGTCTCCTCTTCGCCCATAGTCGCATCAGCCCCACCCCCGTCCCCCTATCCCTCTGTCTTGGCGTCTTCCCACCCTCCATGCCCTCAGGTATCGCTGCTGTCGTTTGCCTTCCTGCTGAAGCTCCTCCTGGACATGGCGGCCCTCTCCCGAGTGAACATCCCCATGTACGGCGTGCTCAAGTCCGCCACCACGCCCTTCGTGCTGTTTCTTGACTTCCTCCTGCGAGCCAAGCGCGCCTCGCCACGCATCCAGCTGGCCGTCTACACCACCGCGCTGGGGGGCGTCGTGGCGGGCACGGGTGACCTCACGTTCGACCCGGCGGGGTACGTGCTGGCGCTGTCATCCGCGTTGGCGACGGCAGCATACGTGGTGATAGTGGGGAAGCTGGGAGAGGAGCTGCAGCTGGACTCGTTCACGCTGCTGCTTTACAACAACTGCTGGTCGCTGCCCTTCGCCTTCCTGCTCGTTGCTGCCAACGGCGAGCTGCCTGCCGTGCAGCGAGTGCTGCAGTCACGCGATGCCGTGTTCCTTGTGTGCTTCATGCTGTCCTGCACCTCAGCTTTCATACTCAATCTCGCCACCTACCTCTGCACGCTCGTTAATGACAGCCTCACTACCAGCATTGTTGGTGGGTCCTCCTCCGATTACCTTCTCCCCCACACCGCCAAGTTATCTCTTCCCCAGCCTAACCAATCCTCTCTGCTATTTGACGGCTGTCCGTTGTTGTGCAGAGCTCTTCCCGCTCGTTTGCTCTCCTGGTTCCATTCGTCCATCTCTGTGTCCCCCCCCCTCTTCCCCACAGGCCGCACCAAGTCCATTTTGCAGGGCTTCGGAGGGCTCTTTGCATTCGGGGATGTGCTGGTCAGTTGCCCTCACTCTCCCCAGTACTCTCCGTTTCTACTGAACAGCTGCTGCTCTGTCTGCCTTAACCTGCTTTCATTGTGCTGCTACTTGAGTGCAGGTTAGTCCCACCAATCTCATAGGCCTGGTAGTAAACTCAGGAGGAGTGGGGTGGTATGCGTATGAGAAGTACGTGGAGGCGAAGGCTAAGCAGAAAGGAGCGTACACTTTGTTGACAGAGCGCCACCATCACGATTCCGACAGCAGAACAACCATTGCCAGAGATGGCTCACAGGTGGGTTGGTGCAGGTAGCCATAGGTTTCATTTGTGGAGTAAATGGGTGTATGGATGGGGAGTTTGGGTCCCTAGTGATGTGTGGATGGCGTTTGTGTCCAATCGTTCGTACAGGAGTATCTGTTGCACCTGTCTTCGTGCTCCTTCAATGTGCACACATGGTGCACTTGCTGCTTGTAACTGAACAGATCGTACTACCAATATCCCTGAAACTCTCTGTGTGAATGTGTGCATGGGTTGTGTGTGTGTGTGTGTGTGTGTGTGTGTGTGTGTGTGTGTGTGTGTGTGTGTGTGTGTGTGTGTGTGTGTGTGGATAAGTGGTGTGGGTGTGTTTGATTGTTGTGGGTATGATATATTTCTGTGGTGGTCATTGCTCAATGCACACCAACATGTGGTTTTATACTTGCAGGTGACCATTGTTTTCGATGATCATAAAAAGGAAGACTTACCTGAGACACTGAATGGGAGTGCTAAATCTCAAGGTTCTTAACGTTGTTGGGCCACGTTTTGGAGATCATGGCATGGAGTGGGCACAATAGCAGAAAATCACACCGCGTGAAGTGGTAAAAGTGTACCGACACATTATGAGTGGTTCAAGATCTGTAGTGATGCTATTAATGGAAACATTTTACTAAAACTCAAGGGCGGTGGTTAAAATAGTCTCCAAATCCTGCCCATGATGTACTCAAGGAAATCCACGTGGACAGATCTGGACTTTTGTAAGGAAAAAACATTTTCCTTACTTCGCGCCCCTGCTTACTGCGTACAAGACCTTTCCCGCCATCACCACCCAAACAGCGAAACATTACCCGCTCGCGACACTCGCCTCGACTACGACTCCCGCCACTGTTCACGATGCGACCCAACCTCACGGCTCGGTTGGTAACCCGCGCTCCGGACCTCCGCCTCAACATATCCCAACCTCGGCGCTAGACCCGTAGCGCACCCCAATTTCTCGCGTTACCGTTACCACTCTAGTTCGCTATATACCGTATTACCCCGGATAGAAGCTCACCTGCGCTTATAATAAAGCAGAGTTTTTTAGGGGGGTGCGCTTCTAATTGAGTCATTTTTATAAGCGCATGCGCTTATATAATGACAGATACATATATATAATTTTATAGCATCAAAATGTACATCTCAGTCGTACCATTCCAATCGAGGCAGTATTTTATAGCGCCAGGAATCAGAATCGCACACAGGGGCAATCTTTTTTCAACACACAGGGGCAAAGACACGTCAGTTTGCCCCTATGCCAGAAAATCTTGACCTGACGCGCAGCTTCTGAGGTCTTCGCGAGTCAAACGAAGCAATTGAGAAATTAGGATCGCTTCAATTTTGAAACTCGTTACTGTGTTTAGCAGGTTTTAAATAAAAATTATGGATGCGCTTATAATAAAACAAGGTTTTACAGGGGGTGTGCTTATAATTGAGGATCGGCCATAAGCGCATTGCTCCAGATATAAGCGCATGCGCTTTAAATAGGCCTGCGCTTATATCCGGGGCGATACGGTATTCTTCGTGCATGCCTTCGCTCATTGTATTGTTTTGCTTCGATAGTGCAATTCTCGCTCGCTCACTCAATTGCACTCGTAACACTTGGTATTCATAGCCTACGATCTCCTCTCGGACCGCACCCACACCTTCGCTTCCCCATTATATCATTTTTTTGGGGGGGTAGACGTCTCTCAGCGAACAAGCACCGCCGCTCGAAGTGCTCTCTCGTAAGCACACACGGCCATGATAGAGGCTCTCGCTGAGCTTGCCCGACACCCCCGCCATGGCCGAAATAAACCTCACGGCATTGACGCAGGAGCAGCTCGACCGTCTCGTGCGCCATCTCGAAGATTCGGCGCTCGAAATTGCGACACTCACGGCGGAACGCG